CAAAATATGTAACCGAAGTCAAAATAATACTAGATGCTGCAAGAATGTATATAAGTGTATATTAAATTTCAAAATAAATCACAGAACTGTTGCAGACATTTTAAATGTATATTTAAAGTCAAGGTGATTTAAAGGCGGGAAAATGGTAAAAATAGTTTTTAATATTTTTACTGCGTCCCAGAAGTCAAAATAATCTTCAATAAATCCACAACAATGTGTGTTTTGAGAGGCACTTTTGAGATTCTTTTCGACCGTGCTCCAGGCTTCTAGGACACAGAAACAACTATTTTTTGGTATTTGTTTCAAAAATATTTTACGTTTGATTTTGTCACTGAAAAATATCAAGAAATGTTTTTATGATAGTACGAATTATTTTCTTATTTTTCCTATTTTTTTAAATAAAATGAAAGTGTTAAGTTGACAAGAAAAAATTAAAATTAAAAAAACCTTTTTGGCTGTAGTGGAGTGTGGGTGGTGGAACGGGGGCTAAGAAACCTTTCAAAAATATTATTTTTATGTTAGAATTACAGTGTAACTACTCATATGACATTTGGTTGACGGGATTTTTTACAATCTTATCCGGGGGTACGCTTTCATTTAAAGTAATATATGTTTTGAAATAAAGTGAATATTTGGTTTGCTTCATATCGTACGAGAGCGTGATCAATCTGAAATTAAATTTTATGATTGTTGTGATTCAAAGGAATGAGACTGTAATAATGAAGGTAATTATGGTCATTATCAAAGTCATTATTCAATTGATACTTCATACATTCATAATATTTGATGGAATTGAAATGAAATAACAGAAGTTATTCTCATTTGAAATTCACCAAAGTTCTGTGTACTTATCTGTTGAAATGTGTTGTTGTTGTTGTTGTTTTTTATCCCCAGACGTATCAGTAGATTGAGTCAACCATGCCGAAAGAGACAAAAAATATTTGTTGACTATTCACTTTTTATTTTCCTCTGTTGACTTTTCTTAAAACCACTTAACAACACAGCAGTTTCATTGGCGATCAAACAATAATATGGAAGTGATTGATTGATAAAACGCGCCTGATGTTCGAAAAGTGTAACATCATTTCACCGGGCGTCTCGTCCAGAGAAGCAGAAACGGGGATGATTAAAGGCTTCATTTCGTTACTTAATTCTGCGAATATCTAGCTTTACTTTGATGATCGTATCTTTGCAACTCACTGTATATTGTAAAAGCAAATTAAAAATAAAATGGATTCGGACAGAAGTCATAGATTGAGAAACTTGACATTCTCCATAATGTAGTTTCATTAAGAAAGGAAAAAGCTAAAAGAAGGGCAATAATACAAATTCCAAAATGTGCAGTTCAGTGAATTATTTAACAAAATTTATAGCACAATAACCTATAAATATGGTTATTTTAAGTATTATTCGTCAAATATGAATAATAAAACTTCGAAATTAGCATCTAGGTATAGAAAACAGAATTAAATTTTTTTCTGATTAAGCTTCTGTAATTGTAAACATCCTCCCTCAGAGGACACTTATTTGATTTTGAGTGCATAAAATTCACAGATGCTATTCGCATCCGCGACCACTGAATAATATATAGTGATGTACAATATTGATTAGTGTCATTTATATCGTGTGTAATCCTCATCGCTGGTCTCCTATACTGAAAAATGATTGGTGGAATTTTTGTTGCCTAACTTAGAGGTGTAGAATCAGTTACAAAGCGGAACAAACGTATCGTTCTTGTAAAACATAAGTTCATTGATTCTATGCACACTGTTGCTAGCTTTACTTGCGTTTTTTGTTTTTAAATTTACAAATAGATTATGAGAATTCGGAATTTATCGGGTCGAGCCACACAGGAAACGTCCAATATGTAAACGCGAAAATGAAACACCTGATATGAAAATAGCATTTAATGTCGCGCCTGACGCGCTCTGAACCCCCCACACTTTCACTCATTATCCCACTAGTATACTATATTATTTGTAACGTTTCTACAAAATTCTCCCATGTGCTATTGCAGAAATAATGAGAAATAACATTAATTAAATATTCTGTTGTGATGCAATTTGTCCCGAAAGATGGGCTACTTATAAAAATTAAAAAGAACTCCCACTTTTTTTTGGGGGGGGGGTCAGTGGAGGTCCCTATTTGGGACCTTTGACTTCAGGGGCCCCGGTGCCTCGCACCGGCCTAGCTACGCCTCTGACTGAAGCCACCATCCTCCTGAGTGGATAACTGATTAAAAATATCAGTTGAGAGAGAACGTTTGTAATTTCTCTTCTACATTTGTGTTGTGTGGGACATCAAATATCACGGACATGAAAGAAATAATAATAAAATGAGTTCCTGGAAAATTCTTTATATAAATATTATCGCACAAGATCTCGTTCAGAATTTTATTCACCTCACGGCCATTACACATTCATGTCAGTTGCGCACATTCAACTGAGCATGTTGTGGCATCCAATAGTGCATTCGGAACATGCCACAACACTATAACTAAGAAACGGTAATTATTCTAATAAAAAGTGAAATATACACTTATAACAGTAATAAAATAGATAAGATAAAATTTCATTTCGGTGTTTAAAATACTTCTACACAAGCATTTTCTGAGCCCAAAACTTAACACGGATTCGGAGCGGTTGGAAGTAAGTTCTACTTGTACAGACGAAATTGTAATTTTTTCATTAAAAACAATCAATGATTGTCTCTATGATGCATCTTTATATTACAGTGGTATCCTCAGGCAAAAAACACGAGTAAAACAGTTTTGTTATAACTGCTTGATTTCAGATACCTGTCGATGGTGCAATGTATGTTGTCTTTTTACTGTATTGATGACAATATACAAAATTCTGTTTTAAAATATACACGTGCTTTCATTGTCTTTAAATATCCTAACTACCACTGTCATACAAATTATTTGTTGTCTAGTTTAACCACATGTATAAGAGTTTTATTCGAAATATGAAAGACGTTCGTTGTACATACTATATTCATTTTTGTTTACGAGGAGTTGATACTCGAATTAATAGTAGTACCGTGTAGTCAGATATGTATTCCGGAGGAGGAAGATTAAAGGAAACATATTCTCCTCCAATTCCCACTACGCGATAAGACAACGATGCGTTGGTGTTCGATGGAGTTACGCTTCGGCTCTTTGACACATGAGCAAGCGCGAGGTTGAAAATTACTTCTGCTTCCTTAAACATCCGCGCATCCTTCATTCCGGGAAAGGAGGAGCGAGCAGGGAGAATAAGTTTGACAATTAAATGCGTTAAAACAGAACGGTATAAGTGACATTTTATATATTCTGAGAAAAACGTGTTTATTTTGGGCTATATTTCATTTGCAATGTATTTTCGTGGTTTTAATGAACAGTTGAAATGCCGTAGTTTTAATGATGAGACAGAGCACCACGACTTGACAGTAATATTTATTTAAATAAACAAATTTCTCCGAATTTATAAAAAATGCCACCCATGCAATTCATGACGAAGGTCCAATTGTCATCGCAGCATAGTATTACATTACTTTGTAAGAGAGACGATCCCAGCAACGTATATGGCAAACTCTCATTTGAAATGCTACGTTTCTAAGCAGGGTCAGTTGGGGGCTATTATGATAATAAGACAAACCATTCATCTTATCTTTTATACCTCTTGTAGCAAAGTTATGGGAAAAAATACTGAATATGTGCCTTCTAGTACTAAAGATCATATGATGGGGCTAATACGATTTATTGATGGGGTTAGAGTGATTTAGCTTAATATCTCTATGAAATTTGATTAGGAATACCTTAGTGTCTACTGTTTCAAGAGTACTTTTTTCATTCTTTTATCTCTTGCTATCCCTACGTTATAAAACTTTGTTTCCAATCAGTCTGAAAGTTAGAAAAGTAAGCTTTAAAATATTTTTTTTAAACGCATTGCTTAATTGGGTTTCAAAATTGTAAATTATCACAAGATTTATATCATTCATCAAATTGTAATAACAAGAAAGTTTACCTTTGGCAAAAAATATTGAATATTGCAAGGGTCTGGATGTGATATCGTCACATCAATTTAACAGTATACAACACACAAGTCTTGGCATACTGTATTTTATATTATTTTTCGTATTCTGATATGAATTTAAATAATTAAAAATTGTTCCAAGTTATTTCTATTGTTCCATAAAAAACTATTATAATACGGAAACATAAATATTACAATTCCGAGAAGTAACTTTACGGATTCCCGCGCGTATAATAGGTCATATATTGGTAAAACCACAACAAAAATTTTAAAAAAATATTTCTTTGTTGTTGGCTATTTCTTTCTTCGTGTTCATTTTTAACGAATAAAAATAGTCCCGACATCGGTATCACATTAGCTCCATCATATCGCATGGAGTTTGCATATCCCCCAAAATGGAGTTTGTATATCATGGCACGATTAATATTTGTGAAATAATTTAACAAAGAAAAAAGATTCGTTATTTCTGAATGATTACCTATTTTCAAGTGTCATCATATAGTTTCCTGTCTCGGCGGAAAAATCTTTGTCTGAAAAAATAAGTATTTTCGGTTCTGATTTTTTTCCAATACTGTAATATTTTTAGTTCCTGTTTTATGGCCATTAGCAAATAGAATATATTTCCTATGAGATGAAATTTGTTTGTTAATTTTGCATATCAATAAGTAACAATAGTCTTCAATTGTAACACTTCATCTCCAATTTTTTGCAGTATCGTGTTAACCCCGACTGACCCTATAAATATATTAAAATGTAACGAAATATGTAGTTTTCTGTAAAACAGAAAAATATGGAATAATACAAAAATATGTAAAAAAATATATTGTTCTAATTCATTCATCATGTCTTGTAAACTATAAAAAATATTTCCGCACGCAGGTATCTCGTTGCTGTAAAACTATGTTGTAACATAAAATCCTTTCGCTATAAATAGCGCATTCACAGGCGTACTCACGGTGTGTGCTTGCGGTCGTTTGTCCGCAGGCGCTGAGGCGGACGCCGGTCGTATCACCTGGCGTGTGAGCGCGTGCGCGCGGCAGCGGTCACGCCGGAGCGCGGAGCGTCTGTCGGCTCACCTGCCACTGCACTATCCCTTCCCCGTGCGGCTGGGCCACTGCTATCGGTACGTATCTAATCTCATAGCCCCCACCCCGCGCCACGCGGTGATTGCTGGCTGTAGTCTTGGGTGATTAGCGGCGAGTGAGACGCTCGGGTCGGATTTAATGAAATGACGAAGTGAGAAATCAGGAGATGAGTGGGTGGAAGGGGGAAAGCGGGTGAATTTTGAAATAGATTATCTCGTAATCGGTTTTTAAACGCTGGTGACGGAGTATTGTCATTCTCATAAATCCTTTGTTCTGATGGCAGAGTTGACGTATGTAGGATAAGCCTATTGATCATTTTTATGATTTATTTATGTCTGTTCAGAAAGCCTTCCTGGAATAATAATAACTTAAGGAAAATAAACTTGTTTATTACAATAATAAAATTATAGTCTTTCTCACGTCATTAGCTCTGCTTATTACGTTATATTGCTTTAATAAGAAGAATAGTTTCTAACTTTGTTTATTTTGTTAATAATTTAATATTAAACTTTACCTATATTTAAGAGCTTATAAATATGCAAAATAGTTATTATTGCCATTATGTTAACTTTTGATACTAGTACATTCTTAAATTACGGCACTGTGAATTTGCTTTCCGAAAAGCTCGATACTTTTCAACCAAATTTCAGAAAATTTCTGCAAAGCTTGCAGAGGGATGTGGGTTTCCAGACAGCAGTTTAAACGTTTATTTGCTTTTCTGAGAATGTGTTGATGTAATATTCTACTTGTTAGTTACTAATATCACGGTGCTTTGATGATTTTCTTTAACCATTTACTAGTACATGTTTTGAACAATTTGGTTTCTTTATAGTATGGGTTTTGACTACATTTCAGCGATCTGGCTCTGCTAATGAAAATGCAATACATGATTTAGTAATTAAGGAGCCGCTTTCGATTCTTAAACGGGCGATATCTAATGTAGTAGAGGATCAACTTGACAATTTGTGCGTGTTCTATTTGAGGTCACCCTTTTGGTGAATCGAGATATGGGTTAACGTGGGGTCCTGGGGTGTTTGCGCTGGTCACGCATCACCTGTACAAGCCCCCCTGTTATACAGAGCGGGCAACCCACTCGATCGGCGCTGACTCCTCGTGTATTGCCAAGCCAAAGAAGGTGATTTAAGGTCACTTTAATATGATACTTGAGATTAATTTTGAATCGAGTATCAGTGTTAAATATACCACTGTTTTTTGGAAATTGGAACGCCAAAGTAAGAGTGAAATGCACAGTACATCAGAAATAAAGTATAGATAATTCACAAGTGATTATAATCCCCATAATCATCGACTTTCAAAATATTCTTAATGATGTAAACCCCCACTCTGTGATCTGAGCTTCTGAACGTTGTAGCTTGGAATAAAAGGTGGTCTGGAGATGCGCTGTGATGTGTTCTTTCACACGATTTGCATGAAATTTCGCAAAGCTTCACGAGTAGTTTCTGTAAGATAACGACGAAAAAGTTCTCGGCCAATTGTATCCGAGAAATGGTTTGGGTGCATCAGCAGACGTACTTCCCGGCCAGGGAAATACTGGTACGTTGAAGGCTTGTACATTCCTCGCCACATGGACGAGCGTTGTCGTGTTCAAATGTGGAATTGCCTGAAGGAGCAATACCATGGGTACCAAAGCTTTCTTATGTATAGGTCGAAACTAGAAAAAAGATAAAACATTCTACAAAGAAAATTAAATTGTAACTTCAATGAGACAATTAATTAAAACAATTTTTGTGCTGAATTATATACAGGATTGCCAGAGGCGTTGAAAATCTTATTCCCCCAAATTGCGAGGTTAAAGTGGAAAATCAGGGTCTGAACATATTGACAAAAACAAAACCCCTCATAACTTATGGATAAAGTGCCCCTTTTGAAATTTGCAGGAAGGAGACATGTCCTCCTTGCTCTCCTTTCTGTGCACGCATATTCCTCAATACATAGGACCGAGATCGCATCTTGTATCCAATGGCGTGGAGTAAAGCTTGTAAGGGTAGGTGAATTTTGGAAGATGATTTGGTTAGTTGCCACATCTTTAAACAGTTGAGCAGAAATACACATATTAACATTGCATGAGCCGGTCCGTATAGACGAGATTGTTAAGGCAGTAGGGCCGTAGCGATCTCGGACCGAAGGATTGAGGGTTCGAGTCCCGTCTCGGGCGTGTGTCGGGAATGTTCGCCCTTTCACCTCCTATCATCACCGTAACATGTTATCTTTACAGTTACCATACCGTTATATGCAATAGTGGTCGCTAATGACCTGGAAGTTGATGCGACCTTAAATAAAGAAAACAACATTGCATGTGTCATAATACACTGCGCCAGCAGTCTCTCCGCAGTGAGACGAGTGGCTAATGAGAAGCTATCAACATAAATTATGTTGTTATTATATCTTACTTGGTTCATGCTGTTGTAAGTCAACTCAACTCTACATTACTTAATGTCAATTGTGTTTAGATTATATCATGTCAAATCCACACTACATGGATGCACGATACGTGTATTATGGAGATTTGAAGGAGGCATGGTAAGATCCTGAACACATGTAGCATTCTAATAACGGATTTTTGATGTCAGTTCATTTGCTGCGCTGCTTTGGGAAACTAGTGAGAATGCACGCATAGCGAAACTTTTCCTCCTTTTAGTTGATTGATTGATTGATTAATTAGTGATTCCTGGTGCGGCAACTGCTAAGGACCCGTGCATATTTTCATCCCGGGAGGTTACTGTGATCTTCCTTAGCTGTATGGCCACATCCGGCGCCGACCTAGCCGTCGGTTTTACAGGGTTTCCCAAACCAGGTGTATCCCTCCAGCGGTGGACCACCTCAGGAGAGACAAGCTCCTGACCGGTCTCCTGGCAAGTGTGGTAGTGTAGTGTGTAATAAGAGCGGAGGATGCGACATGGAAGAGGAAGAATAGATCGCGCGCGGTTCGTGACCCGTTTGTTGGGGGCACAGCTCCGGAATTCGCCTGGTATTTTTCGATAAAATCACACCGATCAGAGCAGCCGGCTGCTAGAATTCTCCTCCTGGTAGCGGCTGAATTCGAGTTTGGTATGTAGTTAGTGCCGAAAATCCTGCGGGAATCCGACGGGACGCAAACACTTCCCGGTCAGAGACATTACAGTGACATCAGTTTATGCCTTGAGCCATCTAAGCCGATGCCCCGTCCTCTTACTTCGACCCCCTGGGGGTCTATGTAAATGGGGGTAATGGATTTTATGGGGGTAAATATTCTATTGATAAAAAAATATAAATGAAGTTGATAATTGCTCTCTTATATAAAGTTTCAGAACATATAATACTTGTTTATATTTCTAAAAATGGAAAATATTTTCGTGATAGTTCCGTGAGCAGAAATGGAAAACATGAACCTATAAACATTTTTTCAAAACGTTTGTTAGTTTTTTGTCTAATTGCCACCACTTCATTTATGTGTAATTATTTGTGTAAATATTTTGTATACTGCATATTATAGAAAAAAGTCAAGGAGGTTGGTGAAGGAAACATCTCTTTTAAAACAAGATCCATTCAAGAAAAAGTTTGGAAATCCCTGGGCTGAAGCGACTGTTGAATAATAGAGGCTCGATTCTGTGTGTTTTGGTCTGTTTCTAGTTGCATCAGACCATTCATTGCAGGCATTTAGCTTTCAGAGGGCGTGAAATCAGGAGACCCACTGTAGTGCGAACGTTAACTAGTAACGTCATCGAAAACAAGCCATCACCTGAGCCGGTGACACGCTAGACGACTGACCATGTGTGGCGTGGTGCGGTGAGTCATATGTAGCTTTCGCGGCAGTCTCGCGATGTGCAATATTGTGCCTTCGTCAAAGCTGCCTACTGTGTTGCAAAGAGATTTGTTTCAAACAGGAAATAACGTCTGGCAGTAAACAGGAAATAGAAGCGAGATCTAATTTCGGCCTTATATATTAGCGAAGAGTGGTGCGTAAAATGTGTAAAAAGTTGGACTTTTTTGTTCAAGGGGCTGCCCGCATACTGTTCTTCTTTCAGAACAAGCTTTTAAAGATTCTCTACAGCTTTTGAGCATTCAATTGTCTAAAACTTCTATGCAAAATGGGAAAATAATTGAAGGATTACCAAGCAAGTACCTTCAAAGTTATTCAAGTTATTACATAATTTTTACTGTTCTTGCATTTTTCTCATTTTTATGTGAGCACACATAACGGGGTAATTCCTCTGCGAAACGAGCATGCCCGAAAACGAAAAGTAGAGGTGCCACAATAGAACATACTTCTCGCATCACATCTAAAGTTTGTGGGTTTGGAAAATTCATAGTGTTCAATGATTAGTGATTCCGGGCGCTCCGACTGTTGTCATTAGTTTCGTAAATGTAGTGCGTGTTTTTATTGCGGAACGTGGCGGTGATCTTCCCCCGCAGGGTGGTGAGATCTTGCGCCGACCCACTTCTCGGCTTACTGGGTTTTCCGCAACCAGGTATCTCCCACCAGCGCGCACCACCCCAGCTGCTCCCGATCCCCGAGGTGGTACAAGCATGCAAGTGTGAGTTTAAGGGATGAAGATAGGACAAGAGGAAAGATAGCCACGGTCTGTGACCCGTTTCTTAGGGTACTGCTCCGGCATTCGCCTTGTGTTGATTGGAAATACCACGGGACTACCGATCAAAGCAGACGGTCGCTAGAATCTTCTTCCAGGCAGCGGTTGATTTGGGCTTAGCTTTGTAGCTAGTGTCGAAGATCCTGCCTCCGCACTGTCGGAACTCGAAACCTAAGAATTCCCGGTCAAAGGCTCTGCGGTAACGTCAATTGATACCCTGAACTACCTAGCCGGTCAGTGTTCAACGAAAACGAGATCTGTGTCATTTTTAAGCGATACTTTGATCCGTAGGAAACGATTTAAACAAAAAATTAGGAGTCGGGTTTGAGATTTTTTTAAGTAAATATGAGCTAAAAACAAATTACGCGATAACTACACTTCTTCCAAAATAAATTACATAACTTGGACCGAAGGATCGCGGGTGCGAGTACCGCCTCAGGCGTGGTTAT